GCTCCCAACCCAACTTTAGGAATAGATTGACGACGATATTTTTTTTTATTGCCTGAGTCTCGCGTTAACGCTGATAACGGCTCACCACTAAACAAAATAGTCTTCAACATGGTTAAAATGGAGTGGGATTAAGCGCAAGCTTACTTACTAAGCTTAGTTTGCAGAACTGAATAGATTTTTCATTAAATTGTGATTACTGTTAAATATTAGTTTTTTTATAAATAATTGTAATTGTTAATTATATAATACAGTTAGTGCTAATCTGTGTGGAGTTCTCCTGTGTGGAGTTTGCATGTTCTCCTCGTGTTGGCGGGGTTTTCCTCCAAGCGGCAACCTCCTGTTCTCCCTCATGAAACAAATACTGTACGAAAGTAACTAAAAACTGTAATTCATTGAAATTCCACTAGTCCTGGCTCCATAATAGAGCAGATTTCTATTGACCCTACTTTTAAAATGGCTAAATTTACAGCAGAAAATTGGTTGTTTACAGCCTGGTACAAAGAACTATTTTGGTTCATAGCTAAAATTACCCTTCATGACAACTGTGATGGGTGATTTTTTTTTCTCATCCGTCATCTCATCCGTCTAATTTATTATTAGGTTTTATTAAGTCTGCATAATTAGGGCGTGGCCACTTGAGTGATAGCTATGTCTCGCTGGTCGCCGTCACTTCACCGCAGTTAATTCCGGCTAATTAGCTGCTGAACTCACGTATACATCATATTTCTGGGTTGTTTTCTGTGGCTTTACACAGTTGGTTGCTTTTTGGCATTATTTCTTACAATTATTAGATGATATGGCATGCTGTGTGCACTTAATTGTGCTCACAAATTATTCACGTGGCCTCGATTTTAGCTGCAAAATGCTAGCAGGTGTCTTTAGCTACGCTCACGCTCCACCTCTTTGCCCTTATTTGGTTACCAACGGTTGGAGCGATGAGGCATGAACAAAATGGAGCCGGTTGGCCACACCCACTTGTAGCTTCATTTGCGCCCTTTAGAAACATCACAGATACTATGTCCATATCTTTTACAGTCTATGAATTCTTCCAGGTGCTTCAGTTTCCTCCATAGTCCAAACACATGCACTATAGGTGAATTGAATAAACTAAATTGGCCGTAGTGTATGTGTGTGAATTAGCGTGTATGGGTGTTTCCCAGTACTGGGTTGTGGCTGGAAGGGCATTTGCTGTGTAAAACATATGCTGGATAAGTTGGCAGTTCATTCCGCTGTGGCGACCCCTGACGAATAAAGGGACCAAGCTGAAGAAGAATAAATGAATGAGTTAAGGCTACTACAGCAGGCAGCGAACAAAGAGGCTTTGAAGATGACAAAGTACATTGCACACAGAGGGCATTGAGATGGCAGAACACTCTCAAGAATATAATGTGGAGATATAGAAATATTGCTAAATATCTCACACTTTTACAGTACACAAATAATAACTATTCATATTCAACTGTTATAAGAATAATAATGTTTGAATGTACTGTATAGGACCTGAAATGCATGTGGGATTTTGCACACAGTTTTCATGTTATGCAGTTATATATTTACACCTGCAAAGAATTGAAGTACTGTATATACTGTAGCTTGTGCTCCAAATTAGGGCTGTTGATTAGCAAAAATATGGTGCAATACAGAATATATGTATTTTCATTAATATTGACTAATGAATATAATTGTTTACAGTTAAAGTTTGTATATTATTTTCCCCAATTTCTGTTTAACTGAAAGATTTTTTCAACACATTTCTAAACATGATAGTTTTATTAACTCATTTCTAATAACTGATTATTTTTGCCATGATGACAGTAAATAATATTTGACTAGATATTTTTCAAGATACTTGTAATTAAGTGACATTTAAAGGCTTAACTAAGGTAATTATGCAAGTCATTGTATAACAGTTGTGTGTTCTGCAGACAATTGGAAAAAGAAATATTGCTTAGGGGGGCTAATAATATTGACCTTAAAATGTTTTTAAAAAATTAAAAACTGCTTTTATTCTAGCCGGAATAAAACAAATAAGACTTTCTCCAGAAGAAAAAATATTATCAGACATACTTCAAAACATTTCCTTGCTGTGTTAAACATCATTTGCAAAATATTTCATTTAGAGGAGGGCTAAAAATTTTGTCTTCAACTCAAGGGTTGGATTTAACCAATAAGCAACGTAAGGGGCAGCTGAGGACCCCAGGAAATCTGAGGGCCCCAATAAATATCTAGAAGTATAAATTGTACCCAAAAACTATATAACATTGATATTTTTTACATAATTAAATATTATTCAATATACACAAAAATATAATATTATTATAATAATGTATAATAATTTGTGTGTGAGGGAGAGTGCGCGATAGATGGTTTTATGTAGTTCATAGCAAGTTTTTCACTTTATCAACATTTAGCACAACTTTATATTTGCGCATCAGTTATTTACCTGGAACAATTCTAATTTCTGATTTAAATATGTTCCCCGAGACATATATTTGTTAAAGAAGTTTCCTGCAGCCTTTCCATGAGAAAATAGCTGGACAAGTTACTTTCTCCATGTGATTATTAACTTACAATGTGTGAGCTGGCTGAAATGCGAGTCTCACTGTGATTTTATTTAATATCATAGCTCATTCAAGACATCATAGCCTATATGTGGGGGCATGGCGTTTTACCGAATGCGGCTAACACGAAGGAGAGAGAAAATCGTGAAAATGTAAATATACAAATTATGGCGTTGTCGTTGGATTAGGTACATGTAAACAAATGACTACTTTAAAAAATTGCCGTAAGCCATTAGCCTAATTTCTGCGGCTACTTCATTCAGTTAACAACAGCTACACACTAACAGATCAAAATTACATTTAAAGGGCCATGAAACCCCCCTGTTTCAGCAGAGTGTTTTCACACCTCTACTTTGGAGAGTCAGGAAAAGAAGCGTGTTCAGCTCTGTTTAGGGGGGAGTGTCGAAGGAGCAAAAGAGGGAAGGTCTGAACACTGTAAGAGGTAAAGAGGTCTTCGAAGCTATCGTGCATATTAATGAGGTTGCACCACATACACAATAGAGCGCGCTGATTGGTTTGAACCAAGTCTTATCTATTTAGCCTATAGAATACTGTCTCCGAGGAATTCTATAGTGAGAATTTGTATTTGTATTTTAAATGTCTGTTTGTAATGGTATGCATGTTTTTCACATTGTTTAGATGTATATTATTGTATGCAAATGTTCCTGTTTACCGGCTTGTTAGCTGATTGCGATAATTGACTGCAGGTGCTGTGTAGAGCTGTTTGACTATTTCTGGAGGACTTCCATTTGCAACGCTTTACCTGATGAAGACCATGTCGGTCGAAACGTTGTGATTTTGTAATATTGACATTAAAAAAATTTTGAGAGCTAAAGTGGCAGTGTGCTGATTTACTTTGAATCTTTTGCTACTTATGTTTGCTTTTTGATCGTGCACCTGCCTTCAAGATTTTCTAGATGTGCGCACATTTCTGTTTTTTGCAAGATTTTGAACCAAGTCTTACTCATGAATGAATGCTGCACACTCAGAGATGTAATAAGGCACTCCCAGGGACAGACGTCCAGTTTACATGCTGGAATACATGCTAAGATCTCATGGCCGTGACGC